CGCACTCCCCACGGGCTGCGCGAGCTTCTGGCCATATAACCAAAGAGACTAACTTGGATTGCCACTCGAAATGTGGCCATTTCTATGCGAGCATCCCGCTCGGAGGAGTCCTCAACTCTGGGTTCAACGCTCGACTCCCCAACTCTCCATTGTGAGCTCCATTCTAATCGCAATCTTCACTCCACGCAGATTGGCAGACATTACGATGCAGCACCGCAAGTTAATTGCCCCTGCAACAAGGGTCATCATTCATATTTCATGGCTTTTGTAGAGGGGAGATGCCACAACTTTGGTGGCACAGATACTCGGGGAGTACTGAATGGAAATGATAATAAAATGTTCTACCATTTACAATATTGGTACATAAAACTTATCATTAAACTAATATTTATATCTTTAAGTAATTTATTGAGCTCTTTATCACTGTTTCGAACAAATTTATTATTTAGAATATTTCACAAGCATATTCAAAATATCCCACAGGTAATAATTCCCTTTATCTCATGTATTATAATCCGTTGTTTCATTTTTATTACCCGGAATGATAAAAAAATTAATGTATAAATTAAAATAAAAGCCACTAAGACTCTATTTATAACCAATTCAATATTATTGAATAAATAAATAAACTTATTAAAAGTCAGCTAGATAATCAATGATTAAAATATTATTTATTTACTAATCATATTTGCAAAGATTCACCGTTAATAATGAAAACAAAATGCGATAAAAAATCTATAAAAAACGGGTTTTAATATGACAAGCTTTGAGTTAATTTTTAGCTTCTTAAATAACTTTTCAAAACGTTATGTGCTATTTATAAACCCATAATTTTGTCACAATGATTTATGAATTTTTTAACAAAGAAATCCTTCAAGTATTATGTCCCCATAAATTAAAGTAATTTTATCTTTAATCGTTAAAAAATGATGTCGTATAAATCTAGCCAAACATAAGTTCGTTTGGAGCAATATTTGGTGGCAAAGTTGTGCCCACTTAAAAACAAATAAACCAGCGCTGCAAAATAAAAATGAGAAGAAAACTTGTTTGTGCTTTGTTTTCTTTATTGGGGTGCATTAAAAAATGTAAATAAATGTGCCCCAGCACGCATATACAAAAATAATATACCAAATGTGCTTCTCTATGGTGAGTCAACAAAAAAAAACAAAAAAAACAATTGTATGCAGTCCGGGACCCAAACAAATTTCAGTTTTTTTCTACATTTATCTACTGGCTCTGTAAGGGTCACAAAAGGGTGAGGAAGGGAGGGAGGGGCGGGTGTGTCCCAGCCTAGAATATAAATTTAATTCCGACAACAACAGATTTTTGCCTCGATTCAGGCTCAAGTCAATTTCAGGTTACGTGAGTGTGCGAGAGAATTTGTATCTTTTCTTTTTTGTTTTGCGCAGTTCAATTCTCGATGAGGATGGTCTCGGTGGATGAGGGATGGGGAGAGGAGGGGGAATGGCCGCCAGTTTCAATGGCCGCCGCATCAGGAGTTGCCCTACCTGAGTATGTGTGTGAGTGCGACAGGGACGCACCATGCGCAAAGGGGTCAGAGGAAGGGAGACAGAGCGACACTCCCATAGTGGTTGCTACTTTACTTTGCCCACTGTGGTTGCTACGTGAGTTTTCGATTCGATTTCAGATGGCAAAGGTGGGCACCTACAACTAACGGTACTTCTTCAAAATCCACTCAGGAAAAACAACATATATAAATATGTATTTTTAATAAAGGTACTTAAAAAATCTTTTAAATAATTTTCAAAGTAATTTCGAAATTCTTTTTAATATTTCATATTGAATAAAAGCAATTATATAAAAAATATTACGATGTTTCTGAAATAGGCCCATACTTTCACGACTTTTTTTAAAAGAAAGATTTTATATTAAAAAAGTAAAAGGTTCGATATATCTGTAAAGCAAACTATATATAATTTTGTGTTTTTTTCAGTGCATATTCCGAAATAGCTTCTTCGTTCAACTTGAACCCGTTCGGTGTGCAGCTGTTTATGGCTGCCCTCGCCCACCACCCACCAGTCAAGCCGGCAAAAGTTTGTTTACGACTCCTAGATGATTCGACTTTTGTTGATGCCGATCCACTGTAGGTGTAGGTGCTGCTGGTCTTTGGTTGTTTAATTAGCCGCGGCCTTCGGAATTCTGACGCAAATAAATCAAAGTCAAAAGCAGACAAGTATTTCCCCCAAAAATTGAGGAATGTCAGAACAGGGAATCAAGAAAAACAAATGCACTCTAAAAAAATGATTTTAATTTTTAAAAATGAAGCTACGGGAGTATGTAACAAATGCTTTTCAAAATGGTTGTAGAATAACCTTTCCTATCAATTATTTTTAGAAGCTTTGGTTTTACATTTTTTGTTAAATAATTATATCCTTTAAGACGATAAATGTTAAACCAAAAAAAATAATAATGTTAAATTAAAATTTGTATATTTAAACTTATACTCTCCAAAAAGTGCATATTTTACAAGAAGCAGTTTAAAGGCGGTTTCATAATTTTCCTCATTCTTTCTTTTCACCGGACGATTATATCTCACTTGAGGCGCAGCTCTTTAACTAATCTCCCACCCAGGAACCCCAAAACAGGTGAAGAAAGGGCTAAAGGCGGTTGGCAGATCCAAATTGGCAACACCTTCTGGCACTTAATGAAGCCCGGTGCCCAACCCTTCGCCCAAGTGGCCATTCATCTGGGCAACCCTTACCATTATCCCGCCGGACTGTCTCTGGAAATTGACTGGGCGCTTCTAATTGCGCATCTTTAATGTAATCAAGTCGTCCCCAAAGAGCGGAAAAGCCGTGGAGAAGCTTGTTCCATGCAAATGTATCTAACAAATTAGTCAAATTAATTCAATTTGGCCGCTCAATTGGAATTTGCAGCACGAAGCGCTGATTAAATTTCAAATGAACTCCAATCCAAATGCCCAGTCCACTGGAGAACCAGAGCCACTTACATGAATTCGTCCGATGCAGACGTAATTTCATTATTTATTTAGAGCCTTTTAGACATGGCAGCAAAAATAGAGGATTCTCTCAACACTGCAAAATGTGCCTTGTATTTTTGTTCGATTAAGTTTAGACAAAAGTTTTGTAGGAATCAGGAATTTTCCGAGATCAAGAGGGAATTTAATTATTTATTTGAAGACAAGAATCACTTGAGTTCTCCATATAAATCCTTTTATAGAATTTAGTACTTTAAATTAAATGAAAACTAAAACTATTGCCCCACATAACAATAAGCTTTCTCTGGTTTCAATGGAATTTTTGCCTGCTTCGTTTTAAGTTTTATTTTATTTCTGCCATAACTTTTCAAATCCAATTGCTGCCTTATCTATTTCCACCTGCTTCAACTAAAGTTTTATTATTTTCATTCTCACTCAAGCAAACAATATGCCAGCAAAGTTCACTCCTTCGAAACGATCTGGGGACCACTTAATTAGGTTTGGCAAAGGCTTCGATGACTGCGCAGGTAGGGCCAAATAAGGAAAGAGCACATTTAATTAAAAAGCACAAAAGGCTGGCAAATTGCAGCCACAAATAAAGCAACCAATTGAAGCGAGTGTGGCAGGCGTTTAATGAAGTAGGAACAGCAACTTCGCACACAGGCGAAAGTAAAGGAAAGTAAACGAGGTATTTATGTGGCGTCTCAAGACACCAGCCCCAATATATAACCCACAATCCCCAAACCCCGACAACCAGACCAAGTCCAAGTCGGGTCTTTTGGGGCGTAGCAACATACATAATTGACTGACGGGATAATTTACTTCCGTGCACTTGCGTGTTTATTAAATTTCTTGGTTTGTCTCAGGGCATTGATTCTTCGATGCGGGCGGGATTCCTGGCAGTACGAAAATGCCATGAGCTGAGCCCGAGCTGAAGCCAAATTTCTGATATTGCGTAACCACATGTAATTACGTGTATTCCTCATTAGTTTGGAATCGTGACCGACTTTAGCTGGCTTCCTCGAAAGATTCAAGGCACTGGCACAGTGGCATAAAAAGGTCTGAGCTTTGGAAGGCAAATTATCACAATTATGGTACCTAACATTTTATTTTAATATTTATTCTTATATCCTGAAAATACAATATAAATATTTTCCCACCTAAAGAGTGAATAATGTTACTAAGATGCCTTTATTTTGATTGGATTGTTGTTTTAGATAATAAAATTTTATAGAATAAGTTTGTATATGGTTTAAATACACTTTGCTAACTAAGAATCTTATTCTGAATTAAAAGATGTTACTGTTTTTCCCATAGTACATCCATTGCTAATATCTCGGGCTTGAGGAGACCTGTGCTCTAAATAACCGAAGGCAAAGGCAGGGAGTTATAGATGGGGAAGGGGGCCAGGCCAAGTCACGTTCGTGGGCCAACCCATTTACTTAGCTAAGCGATGAGGGTTGTAGTTGTACCTGCCCGCGCATCTACCGCATCCACCGCCCAAAATTCAGGACTTCCAAGGACCTCCCATCACCCCTTTTCAGAGATTCGCACAACTTGTTACTCGCCCGCCTTTTTCTATTCCTATTTTCCCATTGCGATTCCGATTCGTATTGATGGAAATCTTTGAGCTACACGTTTCTCTTCTTATCGCTGGAATATGGAAATTTCGCCATTTATTTGATCAACTTTTGCCTTTTTCATATCGAATAAGGAGGGGATCTGTATGCGTATGTGGAAATAAATGGCAAAAGGTACAACTTTTGGGTCCCAACTATTTCATATGCCGCACACACACGAGGACTGCTTTACTTTTTTTTGGCAATGTAATTTAGCAAATATCATGTTGGCAAATAAAATTGAAGCTGGCAGGCGAATTTTGCCCTCCACTTTTAGCTGACTTTTAAGTTGCACCTGCGACACAATTCAATTGGTTAGTTCCATGGTCGGCAGATGGGGTTTTATGCACAGTCAGTCCCATTATTATAAATTTCATTTGGCCTGCATATAATATATTAAAGACGTTAACATGGAGACTCACCTGAAGCAGCTGGCGTCGGGTTAAGTGGTCGCAGCAGGGGTCGATGTGTAATACAACTAGAATGAGATATAAAAAAAAAGTTTTATTCAATTAAAAATGTATACTGATGTAAATATTTAATTAAATACTTATGAATTATGTAAAATCATCAGCTGGAAATTCTTATTGAATTTTTAAAAATACTTTCAAGTATTTGAGGGCAAGGGTTACTCAAGGGCTGAAAATTCCTGCTTATGTGTGAGTTTCCCTATGGGCTACGCTCCATTTCCCGGCTTATGCAAGCGGACTCGCATGTAAAACACTTTTCACAGCCGATTACATGGATTACACAACGCAAATGGCCGGCCAGGACCCAAATACTCCAACCCAACCAGTGAGTTGCCACCGAAGGACGAACCGATTTATGCCGGAACACGCTCCTCATTATTATTTCACGCTTATCATTTTATTTCAATTCATTTCGGCCCACCGCCCCCAGAAAGCCCAACCCATTGCCCCCTCTCCAACCCAGAGTGCGCTTTCGTGTTTGCGGAAAGCAGGAATACAATAAATATATAGTTGCTTCCCGGGGATCGGACTTCTACGTCCACATCCTACAGCCATCCCAGTTCCATCGAGGGATATTTATATGGAGATGCTCGAGATGCATTCATATTCCATGGGGTCCAGTTGCGGGTCTTTCGTGCGCCCCATTACCCTTCGCTCATTCGATTATGCCGACATCGATGCTTCATATATGATATGTACTATATGTGTACGCTTTTATGCTCGTATAGGTCGTGTGCCCTTTGCCACGCCCCCTCCCATTCGCCATTTACGCCCACCGGAGTCTTTTGAGTCGAGTGTCCATGGTGTTTGTTTGTTTTTGCCATCAGCCATCTGCCCCCGTTCTCATCAAATTGGTTTTTTCTTTCCCGGTCTGTGTGCTTTTTGCGAAAACTTTTAGTTTCCTTGTTTGATAGACAAACAGACGGCAATCGACCGACCTCGAATTCCCCAATGGAATATGCTCGTGTGCATAAATTGTGGCGGAATACATGGCTCCCTGCTTTCATTTTCATAATGAGCCGCCAGAGACGTAGCCATTTTTCCCGGAGAGTGGAGTCCTCAAAGTAATTGGCCGCGCACTTGTAAATGACAAACATGTCCAGGCCAAAGTGATGGAGTTTTCCTTTAGTTTTTCCCGCCAGCGATTGTCTGTCTGTCTGTCAGTATCGAAATTCCATAAAAGAGAAACTTTGGCTCATTAATATTTTTCGTTTTCAGAAGATTAGCTGCACGCGGCAAATGGAAAAAAAGAAAAATCTTTCTCAGTATATATATGTGTATTTCCCCGCCCTGGGCGTGTTGATTTGTTGAATTTACTCGTGTTTCGGTTTATTTATGTAGGCTCGTTGTTATCGTAACAAGGGTCACGATGGAACAAATCTCCGAAGTAGCTCGGGAGAAAGTGGAGAGCTTTTAAGGGGAGGTGTCATCTGAAATGCCAGGGAAGAACCCGAACATGGAAGAACAACAGTTTCAATCAGATCATGTACCTAATCGGTATAACTCCAAAATGACACGGAACAGCCACTTAGACTATCAAAAGTTTTACTGTGCGACAAGGTAAGTTAAAGTAGTGGCTATAAATATGTCGTTGAGCTTCCTAAAATTTACTTTTTTTATTTATTAAAAATATTTAACAGCTTAAAATATTTTCTTAATATTTGCTCTTCTCAAAGATGATAGAAAAGTTATCTAAATATTTGAAAATCCTTTAATTATCCTGTAGCTTATAAAATAATTAAATTAAAAAAACTCTGATATATTTTTCTTGACTTTTCCTTGTAAAAAATCTGAGATATCCTAATAACCTGCCGCCTGCTGCGGAAATGGAACGTCGGAGGCGATCTCCGGCTGAGAACCAGCGGTCGAAGTCGCGACATTGGGAAGGGGTTTTTACGACCCCGGGGTTCAAAGGTACCTCCTGGGACCTGCGAGTGCTACGCTCTGAATGCAATTACCGAAAAAAACAGAGACACATTTTTTGGTCAAAATATGAAGCGTCCCTAACATTCCGGGAAAAGTGAAAGTGCTGCAGCCCCTGTTTATGGCAGCCATATAAATTGCAATTTTCAGCGTTCTCTATTTTTTGCTGTTCCAGCTACAAACACCGAACGGGTTGGGCATATGGGTCTGTGATCCGTATCTGTATCTATGGATATGTGTACTCGATGCCACATGCCGACAGGCAGCACAAATATTTGCCCTCGTAAAGCAATCTGCCTCAGCTGCCTCTGTACCTCTAAACGGAGACTGGACTGTCTGTTATGACAATTGATTCCGCGCCGTCTGCGATGCGCTGCATTATAATAGTTCCCCAGTTGACCATCTCGGGAGTGGATGGGAGTGTCCAGGGTCGTAAAAGTTATGGAAACCAAATGCGATCCCGGACACTTGATGGCGGCGCATGGCGGCCATTCAAATGGATCAACGAACCCAAAAAATAACAGATGCAGATGCGGCGATACGATCGAACAATTATCAATGTGATTACTTCATTCGAGTCGAAATGGAGCCTCCGTTTCGTTTGGGACAACCTCTCCCAGAGTCGTCAAACTGGTTAACTGATGCAACTTGGCCTGCCGCTGGGCATAAATTGCAATTTACGGTAAGCGGCTCGGCTTTGGGCTAAATAATTCCCTATCGACGGAATGGAGGGAAGGAACGGGTTTCGGCAGTAAGTTTAAATATTTTATTCGCGTTATTACCGGAATAACGAGTAACTTTCTTGCACGCAGCAGTGACATATCCACCTGAGCATTAGTTTCTTTATTAATTTAAAATGCCGACGGTTTAACTACTCGTTAAACTAATTTCCTTAAGTGAAGTGAGTTCTACAGTAGCCGAAGTGCATCTATGTTATATGGGTAACCATTTTTATTTGCAACTTATGTTTTAGTTCAAATTGTTCAAGTTTCTATCCATGCAGTATAGCATATTAAGAGAGGTGATCGAAGAACTATATTTAAAATGTGATCTTATCATTATCACATATAACTTACACAGAGAGAAAGGTTCAACATTTTTTTTTACTTTACTAAAATAATTTTTTTATTCCAAAATCTTTGATATAATTTGGGAACCATCATAGAATTTTTATTGATATCATAACAATTATTATTTTATATTTTGTGAAATAGTTTTGGTTTGAGAAGTCTTCTTATTTCCATTTCGTTTTTAAAAGACACATTTGGGTAAAAGGACATATTCCCCGACTTTCCTCGTGGTAATTTAGCATATTGCCAAATAGCCTTTTTTAAGTGGATTGCAAATTCAGCCTTTATCAGGCATCGCGTGTGGCCTGGGCTCAAAACCAGTTTCATTTGCCCCACTCGACCGGCAGCACGTCCACATTCCAACCACCCATTTGCCCACTGTAAATGGCCCACTGTGCGCATGTGCGGGTTTTCGCGCTGCCACGACCCCTGGGAAATCGCTCGCCTCTCCACCGCCAAGGAAAATTCTGGCACATGACGCCACACCGAAAGTTCTCCCTAGAATCCACACCATATGGCAATGGGAAGTGCGATGCACATGTGGCCTTTGAATATACATACGTATCTGTATCTGCCTGCGAGTATCTGTATCTAAGCGTGTGTATCTTTGGCTGCGCAAGGAGTTGAATGCAACGCGGTGGCCATATCATATCATGGCGACCCAGTCGTCGACTTCATCATCTCCGTGTTATGGCAAAGACAACATTTCTTAAGCTAAACTCGGTGGATTGGGGAGGTCGAAGTGCAGCTTGTGGATTCCCCGGTTGCTGGATCACTTGCTTTTATACTCCAGATAAGCAGCAGCTCAGAGAAATTCCAACTTTCATCAGGCGTCGTCCTTTCGTCTGTCACTCAGCCAATCAGCCCGTCATAATTTTCCCTCCGCTAAGCTTTTGCCCGCTCTCAGCTAGATTAAACTAATGCAAATACTTTCAAAACTTAATAAAGTCGATGGTTCCAATGCGAGAGCAAAATATTTTGTTCGCTGCGAGAGAGAAATATATATTTTTCTTATCGCCTCAATTATTGGGTGCGTTCAGGGGTATTCAGATTAATGATTAGTGATTATTATTTGTCATTGCTTATACTCATTGTTTTCTGTTGAATGGAAAGATGATATTGTTGTGCAGTGTTGAACACAATAAAAAGAGAAAAAATGTTGACTCTATTGTAAAACATCTGTTGCAATAAATAATTATTTTATGACTATCCGATATTTTAATGGAAATCAATTGTTAACATTTTCTGTTGGGGCGCCTATTTTTATGTTTCTACTTACAAGTGTTGTTCTTTTTCATCTTGATACGTTTCAATTTGTTAAAATATAACGAGGTCGTATAACTTAAGTTGGTAATCTCATCTTTTTATTATTTGACAGCTTTATTTGCCTTTATTTTATTGTTTTAAAAGAAGCTGATAAGCGTTTGCTTTTCAAATATATAAAATTATTGAATAACAAAATAATAATTTTTAAGATGGATTGAATATTATTTTTTAAGTTTATATTATTTTATACTGCTGGAGTAACGACAATCCGATTGTAAAGCTAGTTAAATAGAACAAAGGTTCTTCACCGTAAACTAAACCGATTTACGTTGGGTAGATCAGCATTAGTTGGTGCATTAAATTGATGGCCGATAAATGGAATCGGTGAGCCTGGTAGCTCGGTAAATGGCCAAGAACACGTAACGGAAATCTGAAGTTTGCCTTTGCCCCCTCGGTTCCCCCCGTTTATCGGCGCGTGCTTTGCTTACAGCACATTTGAAAAGTCCCCAGTTAAAGTGGGGCCTTGGAGACCAATTTATATATATCTGCGGAGGAGGTTGGCTACCAACTAAATACGAAACACGAACTATGTGGGCGTTCCAGCCGGTTGAGTTGGCCAAAAGCGAGCAGTGGGGACTGGAACCCATCCCAAGGAATTCGCAGTTCCTTTCTCCACTTCCGAGGAACGTGATTTTCAATGTCGTTTCCCTTTTGTTGGCGTCGAACGGAAAATTATGATGCGAAACGAAAATGCGAAAGAGACGAGTACGAATACGAGTTGAGAATGAGTGAAGGTGTATCCGGGGGATACAGGGCTGTCAAGAAATGAAACAAAAATTGGCAGAAGGAAAATAAGAAAAACAAAAAAGAAAACACAATGGTCGACCAATGATGATGATATCTGCACAGGGAAAAATAATAAAATTATAAAGTTTGCATTTGTAGACTATAATGAAGTGAAAAGTGCCTGGAATTTTATTGTTACATTTTTATATGTATGCCACAAAGTTCAATTTAATATTTCTACAGCTGATGGTAACTAAAATCTCATTTTTTAAAGTGTACCCCCTCTTGATGCGAAGGAATGGCAATAGAAATGAAAAAACTCAACAAAATCAAAGAATATAAAATGGAGGGGCAAACAACAAAGAGCTGCAGGCAGAATGCCAGAACCAGAAACAAAAACTAAAGTTGAAACGCTTTTAGACATTTCCGAGATACACACGCGGACACAGGCACTGATACACACATATATTTCAAGTTTCCTAGCCTCGATTTTCCGTTTTTTCCCCAACGTTTAAATATTTCATTTTGTCAAAAAAAGAAGGAATGCACCGAAAAAATAGAAAACACAGTGGAAAATGGGGAAACGAGAGCAGCTGCCAAAGCTTTTACCTAAATTAAATAATTTTTCCTCCGCTCCTGTCATTTTAGTCGGAATGAAAAATTGCTGGGGCAGCACGAATAGTTTAGTTTATTTTAGCCAGAGCTCAAAAATGACAGCATGATTGCAGTGGCAATCCATCAAGGAACTACAGAAGCATTCTTGCTTAATTTATGGCTTAATAAACCCAGTATCTCTCGCCGCGGGATATACCAAACCATACCAATGTTAATCAGATATTCCCGGCGCAGAAGCTTCAAGACAGCTCGATTGAAATATGGCCGCAGCGGAAATGCTAAATGGGACTGGGCCCAGAGCTGTGGGTATGCTATGGGTCTGGAATGGAAATGCATTCCCATTCCCGATTACCAATCTACCAATTACCATTCCCGGCATCGCATGTGCACCGGATAATGTCAATCAGCGAACATTCTTCATTTTTGTTTACTCACTCACCTTGGGGCGTTCGCCATGCTGTGGCCTCTTGTTTGCTTTCAAATTTCCTGCCTGCTGGCCATTTTATTTGTTCAAGGAGCGGGCTCTGGAGACTTTAAGACTTCGGGGAGCTAAAAGCCGACACCGCGCACTTCGACTGGAGATTGACTTTCAAATAAACACTACCTCGATGAAACTGGGCTGCTGGCTTTTGGCCCGGCCAGCGGGCAATCAATTGGCCAGGCTGTATTTGATTCGGCCTCGATCAATCAGGGGCCATAAATCATAATTGCCAGGCAATTTGTCTTGGCCATGGAAATTGACTTGGCCCCATCGATTGCCGCTAGCCGCCAATGAATTGGCCATAGAGTGCTCTTAATTGCGATAAGAAATTTATTCTGGTCTGTGGGAATTCGAAGTTAATTGCTTGCGAACGGAACTGAACAGCCTCAGCCGTTATTTGTATTTTTAAAAAATATTCTATGTAATAAGCTAACTTACTACTTTAAAAAAATTTCCACAATATTAATACCAAAATTACTATTTATGAAAATTATTTTTAAGATGCAACAAGAACCCAAATAAATGCCATTGGTGGCATTAGGCATCAGTATAAAAATATTTATATCAATAAAGTATTCTTATATTTATTAATAATGTATTATTATTTAAGGAATATTTAGTTCTAACTCCTTTTAAATATTTGCTAAATACAAGTACAATAAAAATATGAAGGGAATTGATTAACCATTTTTAGCATGCCATTTCTTAAGTACTTTATTAAATCCACATGCTTATAATTCTAAATCCCTTCTCTCTCCCCCATTCTGGCCATAAATCCTCGTCGATGTCTCCATTTTCGTGTACATCCATTGGACGGCCATTACAACCACAATTGACACAGTGATTTACGGCAATGAAAATTATTCACCTGCACAACCAGCCAACACACACACATATGCGAATCGTAGGACGATACACCTGGGCAGAGGAAAAGTGGAAAAAGCGGAGGAGGGGAGACCGCAGGCGACGCTTTGTCATAAAAAATAAAACGAAATTGTCGTCACTTTTATGACTCCCTACCGTGGGCCCGGTTAAGATTCAGATTCCAGCTTTTCAGGCAGTGGGAAGTCGTATTTTAGGCAGCTCCTTAAAAAGTCACTTGAACGGAAAACACAATATATACCTCCCAGTTCGTAAATAACGAAATACAGAAGCCGTTGAAGAACGGTAAAGCTTCTTGGGGCTTTTGTGGACTTTTTTAATGAGCTGTCAGAATTATCATAAAGCAATTAAACGCATTTCACACTCATAACCGTAGGCAAGTATTCAATCCGCACGCACTGCTGCCACGCCCCCAGCCGATACACCGCCCCTGCGGGCGATCCGTTTTGCCACTGACACTAATTGGTTGCTTTATGGCCCAGTTAAATCGTAAAACTCAAATTTTATGCTTTGTCACTGAAACGATTATGACGTCCGCTGCTCGTCCTCTGTTTCGTCCTCCCAAGAATACGCCGTCAATCCGGGAATCCCGTCAAGTGGCTTCATCTCCGGCGTCCGTTCCCGTAATGCCCCTGATTTATGTCCCCGCCCGAGTTATTTGCGCCAATTTACAGATTGATTTCGGTCTTAAGTTTTTACTGTCCCCTGTTTATTCATCGCCATTTGCACCTACTTAATTTCTCTCGCCTTCTGCATTTATGCTTTATTGCTGTTATAGCAGGATATTTGGATAACGAATTCCCATATGTTACTCGGGGTTATAACGAAACCAGTTATCGTAATCACTGATTATCCCGGGTAATAACACCCATAAAAATTAAACAGCCTCTTAAAAGTTAAGATAAATAAATCTTAAAACATATATTAATAATTAAGCAGTTTAGGTAATTTAGGAGTGATTTTAATATATATTAATTGATAATACTTGAATTTAATGGTAATTCTTATGTTAACGTAACAATTACTTACTTAATCATTTTTTGTTGCCAATAGATATGGATAAAAAATGTCAGTTTCTAAATAATTTATATGTATGTATCCCAATTAAATTAACAAAAAAAATAATATCTTCGTTTCATGAAGGTCATGCATAATTTGACCTCTCCACTCGCTGTTCGCTCTATTCAAATGTGCGAAGTAAACAATATAAAAACAAAAAGGCGAAAAATAAATGTTTGTGTTTGACTTGAATGTGTAGGCGCATTGTTTCAATAACAAACAATGCGATATATTTAAACGGTTCCACATGCGAGTGTGGCTATGGGTGTATTTTCCGATCCGATTGATTTGTTTATGTGGGTGAAGGCGCGAAACTGTGACGAATGGAGCGGCAATCGGGAATGGAAATGATAATTAACCGCACCTTATCACGAAATGCTGCCCTCGATTGGATGCTTCTTACACTCGCCCTTGTCCCTGTAACTTTTCACAATAATTTCAATTATAATAAATGATCTTTGATTATATTGATCTCGGAGGAATTCCAATTACAGCCAAGACACGAACCTCCAATTGGGTAGGAGAAGACTTTGTGAAACGAGAAGACTTTGTCCAACATTGTTGTTGTGCGATTGCCTCAATCATTCTTATCAGCAAAATGCAGAGCTCTGCCTTTGTTTGGTATTTGCCACCCACAATGCATTCAACTTTGTTGCCAAGCGAGCGAAAAACTTATTATATTCCGCCTCCCGTGCAACCCCCCTCAAAAAATGAATGCAAGCCCAAAAAAAGGCGAGAAAAATAAACAGGACGAGTGGGAAAAGCTTGCAAAGCAGCGGAAATCGTAAAAAAAGGAAATTGCATTTCCCCAAAGCAGAGGCAGCGAAACTTGCGCAGGACTTTTGAGATTCTATTAAATTCTAACAAGATTTCAAGCTGTGTGGTGCGGGAAACGGAAGAGCGCGGGAAGTGCAGCGTCCAATAAGCAAATGGCAGCTGTCACTGTGGGCGAAGAGAGAGAGTGCGGAGAAAGGGAAGAGAAGGGCAAACAAAAACATTGGAGTCCAAAAAGCAACGCGCCAAAAAGAAAAACAAGAAGAGCGGAGATGTGAGCGCCAAAGAGCGCCAATTGAACAGGTGCAGCAGTAAAAGAAGAGAAGCTAAGAGCACTGACTAAGAGCGCCAGCTCACCAATACATATGCAATTTAAGAGATCTCAAGTAAGAGAGTCGCACCCATACCAAGAAAAAATCCAGTTGGAAGAGAGCGGGTGTGTGAGTGTATTGGTAAGCAAGAGAGCGGCTGAGTTTTGAATGTTTTGGAATTCAGCTGAGGTTTTAGAAAATTATGAAGAACAAAATTAAAACTGAATATTACATAACTTACTAAATATATTTTTAAAATTTTTTTTTTAATTTGAAAATAAATTTAAATTTATAAATAAAAAACTCCAACTGGTTTTTGAATATTACTTTCCAACTAGTTTCTAAATTTAGTGGCGACCTTCACCTTATGGTTCGTGTATTGTCTAAGCCTCGGCATTTCTGCGCATCCTTGCTCAATATAACATACAACCCTCTCGCTCTAAGCCACCCCTAACAACCGTTACTTACCCTGGGCAACTTCCTTCGATTCTCGGTCTTTGTTTCAGCATTTTCCTTTTTTTTGGGCTTCGACGCAGGCGCGAAATTCTCCTGCCCCCTCTCGCTCACAATCCTGTCTTCCGAGCCTCTGGTTTTTCGGGTGCCCCGAAATTCGGTCGCTCACGTCGCAAGAACTTCACAACTGCCGACGTCGCAGGTGAGTGGCGAGCAGAGCAGCATGGCCGCCCTGGAATATGAATGCCGAATGGCCGTTGGCACGAGCGAGAGAGGGAGAGCGGGCGGCGAGCACGCTCTCTTTCACATCCATGATGGCTGCCGCTGCCGCTGTCGCTAGGCAACCATTGAAATGCGGAGGCAGCGCTGCCGGCGTCGCCGGCGCAGCCCAATTCTCCCGCATTCCAACGGCATTCCGCTCTTTTATCCTCTTTTTTTTTTTCTTCGGCTTGGCCAACATGGCTCTCCACTAAATCCACTTCTTCTTCGCAGCGAATTCGTATGGCCGACATTTTCGATTCAGCCGACGGCATTTTGTTTGGGGATTTTGGTAGCTGTAAGAAAAAATAACTCTGAATTGATTCAGTTAAAATAAATAATGGTATAGGCTAAAAAAGTATTTAATTTCTTTACATCATTGTGCAAATATTTGTAGGACAACGTTTTAAAAAACTTTATATCCTAAACATAAATCATTAAGAAACATTTTATTACAGGCTACACCGCTAATAAAAACTTCGAGAAATAATTTCGGTTCCACATCTTTACTTTTAACAGTTCAGACCGAACCGAAATTGTTTTCATATTTTAACGCGTTAACAAGACTTATTTAGAGGATTCTATGTGAAGAGCATGAAAGTAAATTAGTATTTCAAATTGATCTAGTTATTACTTTTCGATTGAAAATATAAAAACACAACTGATTAAAATAAAATCTATGATATAATCTAATACAAATGAAATCTATGAACCCAAAATCTTTTATAATATTATTAAAATATCTTCAAAATACAATAGTTATTTAAACATTACTATAGACATTAGCTACCTTTTAAAAGATTATTTTAAAATAATTTTCTCCCTGGTTTATTAGATGATCAAAGGTCCGTCAATGATCAGTAATTAGTACCGCCCCGGCGCGTTTTACAATTTAAATTTTAAACTTGTACAAAATGCAATTTGAAATGAATAAGCGTTTAGTTTTAATGAGGAGAGCAAAATACATTAGCGAAACTATTTCTTTGAGCAGGCAATAAACCGAAATGAGGACCCTTGCCAGAATTAAAAGTGTCCAATTTGATTTCCATCGCGGACGAACAAAGGCAGCTTCGCCTCGTTGACATTTGCCAATAAAAATAAATAAAATACCATTTGTTCAGGAATCCGACATCAATGCCCCACGTCTCAGGCCCAAGTTTCCTAGACTTTTGGCCACGCTCACCGGCGGCGACTAAAAATAAATGCCGTCTTTTAGTCGGGGCGTTCAGGGAACACTTTTAAGGGCGTGGGGCGGCCCCCAGGGGGAGGGAGTGGGTGTGTGTGTGTGCGTTGCGCATTTTAATACAATTTAATGCCCCATCGTGCACCACCTCGACCTCCACCACGGGCATAAGTATATCCCCTAGTCCACCCATCAGCAGTCGAACGCGATAGCATCAAAGTTGGACCTGGAGCTGGAATTGGGATCGAGATTGCCGGGATTCCTGGGCCTGCCCAAAAACCGAATTTCCGGGACACTAGCAAAGCCGTATTTTTATTGGAAATCGTTTATCCCCGCAACAAAGTCTCAGCCGAGCCCGAGAAACGTGTCTTTTTTTGGTAAAATATCAACGGAAAAGTAGGGTACAGTGGTGGAAAACACATAACCCAGGAAATCAGAATATTAAGAAAAATATATGATACTAGAAATTAAGAATAAATAATATACCAAATAAACCTGTTCATTTATGGCAGTTGTTTATCTTTACTTATTTTGTAAGTTATCATATTTATTATTTTAAAAAAATTATATCATCTGGTATTCATAAATTTTTCTATGCAAGGTATATTTATTTAAGATTAAAATTGTAATGTGGCATTTAAACTAATTGTTATGCACACTTTACTATTTATTACTATTTATTAAGGAGATAAATAGAATAAATTATTAAGCCCATAAATATTTAAGTGGATGCTAGTGCTTCTGCTTGGTTGACTGAAGCTTTTTATAATAAATCCAGCACAAATGCACACATTTACCAGCAAACCAAACTTTAATGTATGAATAATGAATTAAGAAATACTGTGAGTATTAGCTTTTAAATCGAAGCACTTCTGTTTTATTAATAGCCGCTGCACAAGTATTTAAATTAATTTATAAGGAAACTAGCTAATGGCCTTAAGTGCAGAAGCATCGTCTCTGCTCAAAATCAGGTCTCTTAGGAGCAGCTTCGAAATGTTTTTAAGCTAATTAAGTTTCCCCCACAACCAACCCACTGTTTGTGTATATCTCCCCACCCCAACTCGCTTTTGTTTTCGGCCTTGCCATTTAAGTCACAAACGGCGGAATTAGTTTTCCGTTTCGTTGGCATTTCAGATGCCGGGCATTATTCCGGGCCCATCCTCCTTCGCATTGATATGCGGCCCCATCTATCGGAACCCCCATCCATGCTTCTCCATTCCCCATTCCCATCTCCTCATCATTATGCGCTTCAGAGCTTTTCGGGATTTTCTACTTCATTGCTATTATCGGAGCCCAGTGAATAGATGGTGTGGATGTGGATGGTATGGGGTTATGCCGGGTCTCATCTGGAATCGCACTAATTTGGCTCGGGACTAGCCCCGCCCACCTTCCATCGCCCTCACCCCACCGCCCACCGCCCACCGAGGAGTGTAGTTGTCGTTGCCCCGATTTTATGATGATGAGTTCAGAGTTCGGGCATGTTCTGCATTAATCGCATCACTTTATGTGGAGCGAGAGCTCTGCGGGCTCTTGGCAACCTGATTTCCAGCTGGGCCTCGAACTCTTTCGATCTACGGCGGATTCCCAGGGATTTCATAATGTCCTCACATAACAGCGATAGGCCGTAAAAAAAGAGGTCAAGCGACCCTGAAACAGATTTCAGATGAAAACGAGAGCAGTTCGATCAAATTTATTGCTGCCGGCTGACCTTCGGTTTTCGGTTTTTGGGATTCTGGATTCGGATCCGGGATTCAGGATTCAAATTTCATATTTCACGGCCTTAACTGGAGCGACAGGATTCCTCGGGCCAATAAAAGCATTAATGACCATAACAAACGCCTTTGTGCCGCAGTTGCAGCGGTTGCCCCTCGAGGTCGTTTATCCCGCTGCGTATTTGGTGCGCGCAACTCGTTCGGGATATTATAACAGCCCGAAACTATCCGTACTTCTGTGCTCCTACACATTATCGATGCCCGTTCTTAAGACCTTTTAAGGCCACTTTTTATCTTGTTGTTCACTGAGAAAAAAATCTCTACAGCCGCTATTCGTTTTTGGAAAGGCCTCAAGGACTTTATAAATATAGTAGTATTTAAAATTTGTTAGTCACTTCCAGTTAGGATTAAGAATAGCCAGATGATGGTATAAACCAATGAAGAAATAATTTTTACTATGGAAATTGGTATTGAACTTATGTTATTAGGGGATACAGAACTCCTGTTTTAATCAATATTATATTTTTTGAAAAAGTATTTTATCTTGAACTTTTTTTGCCCGATACTTGATACTCGATATTTTCTTATATTTATTCTCGGTGTGTCGTACTCTTCTCCTTTATCGTATCGTATGGTATATGTTTTTAAATTCTTTCGCCGGGCCTCATAACGGGCCTTGAGTCATGCGATGCTGGGACCCGAGATAAACCCGTTCTCCCTCCCGCTCCGACTCGAACTCATTTAATCCATGAAATGGGAATGCTTTAAGTCGCTGCTCGCTGGTTAGAAATTCTATTTTATGCTTGGGTTCCCATCGCCAACGCCATCGCCATCTTCATCGGCATGGCCGTTGCCATCGTCTGCCAGCGATTCAGCCAGCCAAATGGCGATGGCATCTTGCCATGCAATTCGAGCCGGGGGCGTGGATGGTTGTGGATGAGGATGTGCCTGCCGGTGGGTGTGGCATGGAGGCCCTTGAATCCTGCTTGCTCGCCTGAATCGCGCTGGGTTTCTAAGTTTTTTCGCAACAATTTTATGCATGCGCTACACTCAGCAAAGGTAAATTAATCTGGTAAATCCCTTGCCAAAAAAATATTTTGGATCAGAACTTAAAAAGTTTTGCACTGAAAAATTAATTTATTATACTTCTGTGTTGAGAATAATCATTTTCTTGCACAATGCCTAAAGTAAGCATAACCTACATAGTTGATCTGTTAGAATTTAGGCACCACCGTTTTATAAGTCTACAATTCATGTTAAAATCTTTAATTGGCTTATTATATAAGCAGTTTGTAAGGACGTCTGTCAGCTCTATTTTCTCCAGTGTATTTGTAATTTAAGCCAGCGAGCCAAATGTGAAAACTGGAAAGAGGCAAAAAATGTAAAGGAGAAAACAAGAAAAGAAAGGAGAAAAAATAAAAGCTGCTGCTCGACGACGTCGACATAAACTTGCAATAAGTTTCGCATGTTTCAGCAAACTCAGGTAGGGAAAAAGGTTGGAAAAAGGGCGGAAAAGCAGGGGGAGGGGCTGGGGCTGGCATGGATTTGCCAAAAGGGCAGATGAGGGGCGGCAAAGGGCATTCGGTGCCTTGAATATGCAGCAATATTCTTCAAACGGCTCTGACGTCGGCTCCATTTTATATGCGCAGTGCTCAGGGGGCGGTGTGGGGGTCCACCCACCTTAACAGCTCACTCCCTGCCATTCAGCCATAGCCCCACCCCCCGAACCATCCAGGTAAATGAAAAGATGGTCGCCGGTAAGCCGAAGGGGCGAAACACGAAATGTACTCCAATTTAATCAAGAATTCTATTCTGTAAATTACTTGCACAAAAACACGATGGAAGGTCGAGCCAGGCCAAAAAGGGTGGGGAGCAGACTCAAGCGCCCTCTTTTTCACAGCGCGAATTTCCATTTCATGTTACAAAACGTAAGAAGCCCTGGAATTACCTGTAGTTGGAGCCGTAAAGCTTGTATATGGAAAAGAAAATAAAGGTTTTTTTTCTAAAAAGAATTAAGTGCATTCGGCACTCAAATGGAACTTAGTCATCTTGTCTACGATGTCTCGAAACTAATATTAAATCTTTTAAAATCTCTTTTAACTTTTGTTAGTCATAAACAAGCAACCTTGATTTCTTTGATAAACCAAACCTTTGTGATTTCTCCCCGCATATTTATTCTAAACGCACAAAAATGTAAATTTAAAGAAACTTTTCTCTCAGCCAAACTGAACACAATAAATACTAAACTAATGTTCATATCAGGCTGATAATTGAAGATGACATTTGGGGTTGCCATTAAATAAACATGAACATAAGCGTCAAAGATCTAACAAAGGGATAACAGGTGGAAACGACTGTTTTTAAAACCGCTTTTTCTATTCACACTTCTGGAGCAAACTAA